GTGTATGTATATATATATATATATATATATATATATATATATATATATATATATATATGTGTGTGTGTGTGTGTGTGTGTGTGTGTATGTATGTATGTATATACGTATACACTAGAACGTTCAAACAATCACACATACCTCACGCATGATGCGAGACTGTTCAACAACTCATCGCCCAAAGTAAGGAGTGAATCATCCTCTAGTGGGGGAAACCCATTCAAAGCCTGTTGATGATTGTGTTGTGACTGCTGTGAATGTTGATTGGTATGTCCGTAATCTTGACCATATTGTTCCTGTTGTTGCTGCGTTGGCATTTCGTCTTGGAATCTCCGAGTTTGTTGATGTTGTTGTTGTTGCTGCTGCATGGTGTTTTGTCCATGGGGTAGATTTATCCCCATTTGAGACATTCTGACAACTCACACGCTACCTATAGTTAATTTTACTTCGCACTAGACCTGTGGTTGAACTTTTTAGTTGGACCCAAACTCGATACTGAGATGTAAGCTGTACTGGCATTCGCCATCAAAGTGGACTTATCTGATAGAGTTACAGGAGCTCATAAAACAAATAGGATTAAGCCTGAGGTGAACATTATGTTATTAATATGCTCGGCAGTCGGTAGCCGGATTTGCCAGCGTCTACATGTATCACCAGTAGTTACAGTAGACAATACTTGTTGAAAATATGTACACAATATTTTAAATACATCGCAACGCGAGTCCGCGACTTCGAGGATTTTATGAACCCGATTTCAGGAGTAGAAAAAGCCTGCCGCTTTATTACTAAAGCTATTTGGTATTTTAGACTTCCAAATTGTTGTTGTTTTTAGTTTGCTTCAAAATAGATCACAAAGATCATACCAACAGCCAATCTCTATTTAGGATTAAGTCCGTATTCTTAAAACCTTTGCGACAGAAACGTATTTGAAATATATCATTTTGTAATTACCAGTATGAACAATCCCGTGCTCCAATCCTCACAATTTCACATGACCCCACCAGAGCAGCCAGCAGGGCAGCAGGGGAGAACGATAATCTTTCCCGAAAAAAAATAGTTTGTTTTTGTTTCTGTTTTTTTTCTAAAGATAAACGGCACAATAAGACTGGCTGGGCTGGGTGCTTCTAGGACAGTGTGAGTGATGCCCCTTGGGGGTCTAATATAAACGAACAATATTTACATAAATGTAAAAATTCATACAGAATAAAAGAATAAAAAACCCCCTTTTTGAGAAAAAATATATCACTTTTTACTCCTCTCATAAGTTACAAAACAACGAGGGGAAGCTATGCATTCCAATTGGATATCAACAGATCGACATCTTATGTACAGTTGTTCACAGTAAATACAACACATCCACCGTCCACCACTGAGCCACTGACTGACCCGTGTCACCCTGCGGCACTGGGGCTTGGGTTTATAGTGGGCAGTGGCCCTGCTGTCTGGGCGGCTGGGCCATCCGAGTTCCCAGACCCCGTCTTTCTACTAGTTCCGACTTCCGACCCCAGGGCCCAGGCCCAGGGCCCAGGGCTCCAAGCACTGGCAGTTTTCAATTCTTGTGTGTTTTATCGTTTCAAGTTTTAGAATAGTTTCAGGTTTCCAGTTTCCAGTTTCTCAAACAAGAGAGAAGAGTTCAAGAGTATGACTGTGCTATGCTTCTTCTCTTGTGCATCCGTTCTCACAAAGCTCTTAGCCTCTCTTGCCAACGCGCGGGCAACGTTCTAAATATCGACTATTTGACAGAGCATTATGTATTCAGTATTCACGTCTTTCTGACTTGTCCGTTCTCCCTTGTGTTTTAAGAATTTCTACTTTTTCTAGATGGTCATGGTATTCACAGCATTCTTGGCTTCGTGCCATGAGCCATCTTTAACATTTTATTTTCATATACATAATTATTTTTCACATTTTAAAAAGAAGCAAGCTGTTTCAAAGGGTCAACATGACAAACTGCCAAACAAAGGTGCATTGGACACTCGTTATATTCCAAAGTCATCTTACAATGTTGTATACGTGGAAACAAATACACGATACATTTTACCACAACTTTCAACTTGAAGCATGTTAAGATTGGATGAGTTCTCTTTGGTGGCTGATCTCGAAGAATCTAAAATGGCTGGGCTAGAACTCGCACGGCATCATGTACATAATACACTAAATTCCCTTTTGAAGTATTCTGAAATCTTCGCTGGTACCGCGCTAAATTCCCTTTTAACTGTTCTGAATTCATATACTGGTATCAATACTATACGTCAGCGCTCAACCTCTGTATGAACACTTTAACAATGTTATGTACTTCGATTGTACGCGGCAGCCGTACATGTACGAGTAAACGGCAGATGCGGATCAATAACAATGAAATATACCAGAGCATAGGTACCCATTGCAAATTGCCGTAAACAAGTATGCACTCGAATGTTCGTATGATATCCGTGCATACACGTACAGATGAGCATGCGCAATTCTATAGGGGTTTGCGGTTGTTCCTGAAGCAAAATCCATAGCATTAAATACTAAGGCTGATAAACTGATCTACTAATGATTGAAGGACTCGTTACTAAAGCATTTGCAAACACAGGCGCTACCGGCTACACCAACGACAATGTTTTCCTCAAACTATTCCTGGCGACAACTTGACTCTAAAGTGTTGCCCAGCCAGGATAGGATATTCTACAACCATCGAACTCCTCGTAGAGACTGGACTTATTCGGTTTGTTCCCAGAATTTCCTCGACCAGACTTTGTACAAACAACATCGTACTGTATCATACAGCCCAACATCTAGATTAGCAACTACGTAGCTCCATTTAATCGACCCATCTTGAAATAGGGTATTATAAACTATGAGCCAACTATTGATGGTAACACCGCGTTTCCAAGGTAACGCGTAATTTACGTTCTAGGGCTGATTGTGAACCTTTGTGAGCTTGGTTCTGCTAAGGGGACCACTGAGCGTTGTTGCTGAGTGTTCAAGTTGACCGCGGTATCGCCAGTGTGATATGTGCGCACACGTGATATGTATATCTCACTATGTTGAAATATTCTTTATATACATGTACATGTTTACACACAACACCCATCGAGTTACAAGGCAGCCGTGGGGTCGGGGGATAGTAAATAAACATTGTTTGTTTTTCGTCTGCAGGAAGGGAAAGGAAGGAAGGGAAAGTAACAATCAGTAACAAGGAACACACCAGACGTTAGATAAAACACTTCTCAAAACACAACAGCAAACACACAGTGCCCCTTCAACCAACGAGAAAAGTCCCTCGAATATCGCTTTGTTAGTCAATTTGATAGCTCCAACCCACTATTCGCTGTGATAATCCACCCACTATTCGCTGTGATAATCCACCCACTACTCGCTGTGTGATAATACACTTACCTTAATCCTTAATTCCAGACCTTCAACATCGAATCCCAAGATCCAGTACATAGCGCCATACCATCTTGTGACACACCAAGACATGACACTCGATTTTCATGACCTACCAATTCTCCTACCCGTTGTCCCTGTAAGCATACACGCAAACCAGTCAGTCAATACAAGTTGCATAAAATCACGAGAGCATATTCATCTACAAGTACCTGAACGTTATCATCATATGTGAGCACAATAGTACAAAGGCATGAGGGATGTCAATTTAATAAAGATAGTTTACCTTCTGAACTTTCAATCAATATATATGTACGTATACATATAGATATACGCATACATCATATATATATATCTAATACTATATACAGTACAGAATATACGTATACATCAACGCATACATATACCAAAACATGAAGCACAGAAAATCAGAATAGACCCGAACATGTTAATGTACTTACATATGCATGTACAAATAGATGAACAAAAACAATAAACATATCCGTATGCTTGTATATATCCATATGCACATATATATATATATATATATATATTACTTATTCACTTGCATATGCATATGCACATTCATATACATATGCATACATGATACATACATCCATACACTCGTACATATAACGATATACATCCATTTATGTACACATCTGCATCCAGTTATAAATTTATGAATTACTTCTACTTCTATATCTAGAAATGAATGTAATATGAATATATATCGGCAGATTTATAATTTTAGAAGTGAATACAAATCTTTGTGACTATACATTGTCACAACACATACTATGTGTTAATTTATAAAAACATACGTAGATAGAGACCGATGTGTACATGTACGTATTTGGCTGTGTATATCCCCCCCAAAAGAACATACGATATTTGAAGTGTTTGAATATATACATCTATATAAATGCTGATACGTATCAATAAAGCACGCATGGTAGACGCAATTTAGCGGTATATGCCAATACTTGTGTGCCCGTAAACGATACGTATACTTCCGCAGACTCAGTGAATCGACTAAGTACTAGGATAGGACGGAAGTGAGAGATGGGCGACAGGTCGTTGTACATACGCGCCTCTACAAACAGGTTCGAGAACAGTGTATGTGTGTGTCAGTGTTTCCCAAAGGCGTTGTGTGCGCCGAATTAGGGGTAAAGCAATAGTGTAAACGTACATCAAAGTTTATATATACTCGGCAAAACAGTAATAATTTTTGACATTTTAAAAGAATAGGTTTTTGTTCACACAAAGAAGCCCCTTCTAGGTACGAGATGCTATATAATACAGATTGACACTAGAATAATCATACATTCCCAACCAAACATATATTATATAAACATATACATACAAACATGCGCATAAATACATACAAAAGAACAAACATACATACACATACATACATACATACATCATATACACGCATACACATATATACATACGAAAATATATAGTGATGTGTATATGTAATATATGTATAACATATATATATATATATATATATTCATTGTATGAAAGTGTATATAAGTATATTTGTATGAATATATATATATATATGTATATATTCAATGTATGAAAGTGTATATATGTATATATATATGCCAGCCTACGTATTGCACATCACTTGTTCAAGTTAAACACACGCGCGCAAATGTGTGTAGGCACTCGCACGCAGGCTTATCCATACAATAGAGCGTGATATGCGCAAATATCACGTTTACAAACGTTCAGAAATTTAAATAATAAAGTGCACAACAACGAATATCAAAGTCGCCTTTGTCATGCTGTGCGGACGATTTTTAAAGAAAATCTTAAATAATAGCCACACATGCATGCAATTGGATATGGATACGCCCCAATCACCAGAAGGCACGTTTAACACTTTACAACGTCCAACCTTGTATTTTCCGTACGATGAAACAGTCCCTGAACTCAAAATGAGATATAAAATATAGCAAAGCCATCTAAAACATGCTCGTATTTGTCCTGTTCAGGCGTCTAGGTACGAGTGCATCGGAAAACCCCTAAAACCATAAAACGACCATGTGATCTGCGCCATTTATAAACATGATACCACAAACCCATTCAAACATCAGCACCGATCATGGCTGCGCTAGATGTTTGCGACAAATTGATTTGAATACACATTCACGACCATAAACATGGGGAAAATACTATACGGTTTGTGTATGAAGATACATCTGGTACATACGCACTTGCAGACATAAAAATACCATCACACAGTATGCATATGACACAACGTCTGATACATAAATACTTCTAGCAGACAGGAGGATAAGTGTATAGGACAACTCAATGTATTTTTATTGATATCATCTGCAGTGTGTATGTAATCTGCAGCAGTATGCTTTCGTATAATGTCGTATTCAGATAACAAATACTTGCATATATACTGAAGATATACGAATACGTATAAATATAGATATAAATTTTATAACATATACACCTAGTTATACACATAAATGTAATATATATAAATTATACAAAGATATATATATATATATATATTATATACATATAAAATTACACACACATATATATATATATATAAATACATACATATATATATAAATAAATATAATTACATATATATATATATATACATACGTATATGTACATATGCATAATATATATATATATATATATATGTATGTGTGTGTGTATGTGTGCGTGATATATGTATATATACATATTCATATGGGTCAGTGAGTTTGTACATGTCTGCAGTCCCATTCAGCGAAATCACTGAAAACTCAGCGTGTGTATGAATATATGTTTTAACTATGTACATGTGTACGTATATCTGTTCAAACATCTATTAATGTATACATAATCATGTGCATATGTGGAGGCATGTATGTTCGTATGGATTTGAATATTATTCTGTACGTGTATCTGTGAACGAGAATAAAATCACTGCATAAATACTCCCTTATTATTCACAGATACCTATTGTATGCATGTATATTTGTGTGTACGTGTGCGTGAACTTATGCATGTAATTTGTACAAGCCAGAAGGCATATGAAAATATGTATTTGTTACCTACTTCAAACCACTCACGGTGTAGAAAAAAGCAATCTATATATAAAACTAGGCATCACAATCCCTATAAACAGACAACACAGTACTCTGCAACCTCACCTAAACCACGCATATGATATACTAACCCGATACCACTGACACACTACATATGCACACACGAACCACTAACATACAACACACACCATGTAGTACATGATACGTACTTTGGATACACACTCACCTTCAATGTATCCCACACGTGACATTCAAAATCGTCGTAACCCGCGAATAACAGTCGGCCCGAGCGCGAGAACGATACGGAGGTAATCCCGCACACCAGCTTAGCCTCGGTCAGTTGTATCATCTCACAGTCCGCACGGATATCAAACACTTTACAATCACTGTCGTCGGATCCGGTGGCAAACGCCATAGAGTCCGGGAAGTGCTCTACTGAGTTGATATCGCTCTCATGTCCGGTGAAGGTCTGGATGCACTGGCCGGTGCGCAGATCCCAACGCTTGGCAACGGCATCACAGGCACCCGAGACGAATGTGTTGTCACCGTTCTTGCTCAGCGACAGGAACATGCAGTCTCCGGTGTGTCCCTGGTAGAGTGGATATATGCAGCGCGTCGAGTGAGTGATGCTGTGGGTATTGTATATGGTATCTATGGGAAGAGTAATCATACACGGGGAGAGAAATAATATATATATATATATATATATATTTGTCATATTTATAGATTTTGGTGATAGTAACTATGCTTGAGATAGCTGTCAGGCAGTAAAGTTATCAAATATATTTAGCAGCGTCGTATTCTTGACTAGTGTAAACTGCTTACTTTTCAGAGCGCGATCAATTTATGACAGTCTAAAAAATGAACGGGTAGCAACTACTTTGGCCTCATACTGACTTGGGATTGTCTAATTTACATCGATCATCTCAGCTTGCGTGACTCGACTTCTCAAAGGAGCAGACGTGCCCGATCAGGCGATGTATGACACCGAGTGATCGCTCAGAAACAGGAATAACACGTACTTGTGAACACAAGACTATCTAGCTATGATTGACTTATTTATACAAAAAAACATAGAAATTTGATCAATAGAAATGATGAAGAAAACTGTTGATACCGCTGTACAGGACGTGTTATTGCAACCACAAACAGCCCCAACCTACAAAACAACCCCCTGCCACAACCCCATCGCATCTCTCAAACCTAATAAGTTAGAAGTGTAACCTGACTAATCCTACCTCCACAATTGTAAACTTGAGATAAAAATGAAAATATGTCCGGTACATAGTATTAAGCATTGGGAAACATGTCACCATCTCACCATTGTCAATTCATATTGAGCGGACGCATCCTGCAAACAGTATCGTACACGTAATAAAACGCTGGCACACAGACAGTGGGGTATATGACTTGACCGTCATGGCTGCCAAATACAAATGAAAATAAAAGTAGTCCCGTAAGTGGATAGAAGTGAATATAACTCGATTGAGTACGTGCAGTTCAACGTCACAGATATGCCGTCAGTATATACACAGCTTCAACATACAGTGAAGGATGTTTTCATCTTTCCGGTTTCGACATCCCACAAGCCGCAAGTCATATCTCCGGAGGACGTGACAATTTCCTTGTCATTTATAAATCGACAGCAAGACAGATATCCTGAACACGGTACAATGGTCAACGAAGTTGAGATCAGATTTACGAACAATATTACACGCCACGAGTGCCATGGCAAATTCTCACACTACCATCAATTGAAAACCACAAGGTCGTTGATTGTGACGGTGGATTTGATGTTTAATGCAACGTTACATTACCCAGCCAATTGTTAAGGAATAATCGATGACAGTCAAGCAGAAAGTGCTGCAACCATTCCCTACCACTACACACGCTACTTGGTAGAAAGCAAACCGCAATACAAACATAAACACAGTTGAAACTTTCGTATTTTAAGCTAGCCTATAGATGTCACTATCAATAGACTATAGCTCTCACTTTGTCACTAAGCATAGCCCATAGCTGTCACACTGTCACTATGCATAGCCTACAGCTGTCACAGTGTCACTATGCATAGACTATAGCTGTCACAGTGTCACTGTGTATAGGCTATAGCTGTCACAGTGTCACTATGTATAGACTATAGCTGTCACCGAGTCACTATGTACAGACTATAGCTCTCACTTGTCACTATACATACCCCATAGCTGTCACAGTGTCATTATTTATAGCTTATAGCTGTCACCGTGTCACTATGTATAGCTTAAAGCTGTCGCAGTGTCACTATGATTAGACTGTAGCTGTCACAATGTCACTATATAGCCTATAGCTGTCACAGTGTCACTATGTATAGACTGTAGTTGCCAAAGTGTCACTATGTATAGCCTATAGCTGTCAGTGTCACTATATGACTATAGCTGTCACAGTGCCACTATGTATAGACTATAATTGCCACAGTGTCACCAGTGTTACTATGTATACACTATAGTTGTCACAGTGTCACTATGTATAGACCATAGTTGTCACAGTGTCACTATGTATAGCCTATAGTTGTCACAGTGTCACTAGGTATAGGATATAGCTGTCACAATGTCACTATGTATAGGCTATAGCTGTCACTGTGTCAATATGTATAGCTCACAGCTGTCACGTCCAATCCATGCATCATGTGCTAAACCCTCCAGGTAAGAAACACGCAGGGATGACATTGCGTTGTTTTCAAATACCCAGCGGACAATAACGAAGTGCAACTACCGTGATACTGACTGAAGAAAAGAACAAAGACTGAATTCGACCTCTAAAAAGCAGCCGTACCGAACTATTCTCTGATATCAGGCTTTGTAGACAGTTCTGATAAAACCCCCACCTATATCATTACTGGACACTGATGTCAGACGCGCAAGCTGAATCCAAACGGCTAGACATAGAACGCATACACAGTGACCGTGACGGTATGACGGCAACTAAGTATTAGGGTGTACAAACCCTTTTCGAAAGTGTTGTATATCATCCGAGTCTAACAACTATTGTATATATCAACCGACATAACTGTGCATTCGTAGCTATATCGTCCGCTTATTCCTAAGGGAATAGGCAACGACCTTAGAACGCACAAATGCAACGCGCACAAAAACAGTATACATTGGAAATAACAAAATAACAACAATAACAATATGTATACCTTTGTGACTGGCCAATTCTCGTGTAACACGGGATGTCCCGTCTTTTGATCGTAGGTTATAAACTGAACAGATGTTATCTAGACCACCACAGGCTACAAAGTTCCCGGATGGTGCATACGCACAGGACATCACCCACGATGATCGTAAGGGGATAGCATCCACCTAATTCCGAGAAACAGGTAGAGAAGATATCAGCATGAACATGTGCGAACAGGCGTACTCAACAGCGTGCACGCGTGCGCTTCTGTATAAAAAAACCCCGTCAGTAACAGTTTATAAATAAACTTTCCATGTAATCTGTGTATGTTCGTCGCGGTATAACAAGCAAAGTCGATATATATATATATATAAATAAATATATATATATATATATAATATTTAT